TAAGCACAAATGGAAAACATTAGCAAATTTCAAAGTGAATTAAATACATTAAAGGATGATTTACTGTCTTTTACACAAGGAGGATATTTAGCCATCGACCTAATCAGTCTCAGGCAACGGGAAGCCCCTGCCAGACCCCGCAGCTAAACCCTAATGCAGACATATTCAGTCCCGTTAGAAGTCACGTCACAGATATGAATGTTAGTAATAGGAGTGATCCAGTGCGAAGGAAGCCACAGGAATACGATGGGAAAGCACCGTGGGAAGCATATAGAGCACAATTTGAGCTCCTGGCAAAGATGAATGGGTGGACAGAGGAGCAGAAAGCAATGTGCCTGGCAACGAGCCTGAAGGGACAACCAATGGAAATACCTGGACAGTTGTCAGTAGACGACAGGTACAACTATAGAGCACTGGTACCGGCTCTATAACTCAGGTATGGAACCCAAAATCAATCTGGAGTCTACAGAGTTAGATTTAGGATGAGAGTCCGTGATAAAGGGGAGAGCCTGTAAGAGCTGGCATAGGATTTGGAAAGTATGGCACACAAGGCCTACCCAACTGCGTCACCCAATCTCCTCAAGTTGTTGCTGAGGGATCAGTTTGTAGATGCCTTGGATGGTCCACAACTGAAGATACAAGTAAAGCAAGCTCACCCCTCTACTATGTAGGATGCAACGGCCAGAGCTCTTGAATTTGAATCCTACATTAAGTCCATCACACAAGTACCAAGGTTGGTACAGTCAATTGGATTCAAGGCCAGAAAAGGGCAGCTTTCAGATAGGTTTGAGAGACTTTGCTGGCACTGTAACAAACATGGGCACAAGAAAGCTCAATGCTGGAAACTTCAAAACAGGGAAGATGCCACGGCAAGAAAGGGAGTACCCAGAAAGGTTGTTGGAACTGTGGAGAGCAAGGACATATGAGGAGCCACTGTAAGAAAAATATTACCAATAAGTCAGCTTCGGGAAACCAGTAGTGGTTGGTGTTGAGGAACGCCCACCAACCCCATCGTGAAAGACCCAACAGCTAAGTGTTAAATGGCAAGCACACATAGTGTCTACGTGACAGGGAAGCTGGATGGCCAAAGGTGCGACTTTGTCATAGATTTTGCATCTCAGCAAACCCTTATGGATATTAAGGTGCTGGATCACAAAGGAGTACCAGAAGCTGTACAGAAGCTCTGTAGTGTGACAGGACATTATGCAAGGTTGTGGGGACCAGTGTGGGTAACTATTGAGATCATGGGCATGAAGAACAGACAGAAAGTATACTTGGCTGACATTGAAGACCAATGCATACTTAGGGTTGGATTACTTGCTACCGAGGAAGTGTGTAATTAATTTCGATAAAATGACGATTGAAACAACAAAGGCTAACTTCCAGTAAGTGTTGCTGCATCAGTTGATTTGCATATCACAGCACGAAAGTCAACTGCAATACCCCGTATGTCAGAGAAGATAATTTGGGGTAGGATAAAAGAACATTCCCAAGGAAGCCCAATGCTTGTGCAAGCAGTGGACTACCCATCCAGGCCAGTGGTTTTGAAGATTGGAAGGTGACTTGTGGCAGAACATCAAGTAGTACCTATAACAGTGGCCAATTTCTCTAAATGTGAGCAGACACTTAAGGAAGGGGCATTGTTGGGTGTATGCCAAGAGGTAGAACCAGTCAATGTTAAGGCAAGAAATACAACCATAAAGAAAGGACATCCACTCCCAGAACATTTAACTGGCCTTTATAAGAAGAGAACAGTCTATTTGTCATTATCACAGGCTCTTCAGGTTAGACACGTTTGGCGAATTATGCAGACGTCTTTTCGAAACGAGATCATGACCTCGGCTGCACAGACCTTGTAGAGCACAGAATAAACACAGGCAATCACAGTCCAATAAAGATCCCTCCAAGGAGAATAACTCCAGCAAAGCGACAAGAGATAGAGAAGGTCATAGATGGCCTAATCACGGAAGGATAGTCGAGAAATCAGATAGTCCCTGGTCAAATCCCGTCGTGTTAGTCCAGAAGAAGGATGGGACCTAACATTGCTGTGTGGACTTCAGAGCTCTTAACAGTATAACTGAAAAATACTCATACCCACTGCCAAGAATTGATGATACTTTTGATGCCCTAAGTGGAGTCGCGTGGTTTTCAACTCTGGACCTAAAGTCGGGTTTCCATCATGTGAAAATGGTTGAAGCACATAAACCTAAGACTGCATTTAGTTATGGCCAAGGTCTCTGGCAATACCATATGATCCCATTCGAGCTTAGCAATGCTCCGGCAACATTTGAGAGGCTGATGGAAAGAGCACTGGAACGCCTACAATGGAGGATAGCCCTAGTGTACCTGGATGATGTCATTGTATTGGCAACAACTTTTGATGAGGAAATGTCCTGGCTAGAGGAAGTATTCAAGTGTTTGAAAGCAGCAAACCTCAAACTCCATCCCAAGGAAATGTCATTTGTTCCAGAAAGAGGTGCTTTACTTAGGTCACATTGTAAGTGAACGTTGTGTGCAAAATGATCCTGACAAGGTGAAAGGAGTGTGTGATTGGCCAACACCAGACAATGTGGGAGAGTTAAGAATTTTCTTGGGACTCTGTACCTATTACCAGAAGTTTGTGAAGTACTTTTCAACTATAGCTGCTCCACTACAAGATTTGACGAAAAAAGGCCAGAAGTTCGAATGGACAGTTTCTTGCCAGGATGCTTTCAAGTCCTTTAAAGAAAAATTGGCCTCATTTTCACTCTTAAAGCTTCCAATTCTCTCACTGCCGTACATACTGGATTGTGATGCTAGTAATGTCGGAATTGGAGGAATGTTGTCTTAGAAAGTGAGTGAAAACGAACATGTGGTGACCTACTTCAGTAGGGTTTTGAGTAGACCTGAGAGGAACTACTGTGTAACACGTAGGGAACTCCTTGCTATAGTAAAGAGTCTGACATATTTCCATCCTTACCTCTATGGTGCCAGGTTTAACATCAGGGCAGACCATGCTGCATTATGCTGGCTAAGATCATTAAAGAACCCAGAGGGACAACTGGCACGTTAGATCGGAAAAATAGACCAGTATAATTATGATATTGAATACAGAGAAATGCCGATGGACTGAGCCGAAGACCCTGCAAAAATGACTGCAGGTATTGCTGCAAAAGAAAGGTTGAGCTAACCTGGTGACTGAAGGAGTTGATGATGGTGAAATGGAACCAGGTATAGATATTAAATCTGGGCAGGAGAAAGACAAGATTTGAAGCCAATAATTGATTCTATAAAAGCAAGTGTTTTGGGCCGTGCTTTGGAGAAGGTGTCTAGCTTAAGCCTTGTGACAAAGAACTATTGGGCACAATGGGACCAGTTGAAGCTTGAAGATGGTATTCTTCTCCGGAGATGGGAATCTGCAGATGGGAAAGTGACGACCTGGCAAATGGTTATACCGAGAAAGTTACGGGAAGTTGTGCTGCGTCAATCCCATGAAAGTTTAACAGGAGGACATCTCGGAGTTAAGAAGACATTGAGTCACCTACGACAGAGATTTTATTGGATAGGTATGAGGCACGATGTTGAAGAATGGTGCAGGACCTGCAGTACATGTTGTGCTAAAGGGACCCAAGCATAAGGGCCGTGCTCCAATGAAGCTATGTCAAGTTGGTGCACCAATGGAAAGAGAAGCTGTTGACATTGTTGGTCCTTTGCCCCAAACTCGTGCTGGAAACAGGTACATTTGTATGGTGATGGATTACTTCACCAAGTGGCCTGAGGCATATGCAATACCAAGTCAGGAAGCTACAACTGTAACTTCGGCTATTAGTGATTTCTTCTTCAGATTTAGTGTCGTTACGACATCGAAGTCACGTGACTAGTATCACGCCACGTCAGTCTCGAACATTCACGTCTTTTCCTTAAATCTCGTGATCCTTTTAGATATAGTGTAGTCTTGTATATATAAGACCGGCCACGAAGCGACGGGGAGGTAATGAGTAATTGAATGTATGCGGAGAATATTGTTGGCCACGTGAGACGTGAGTTATAGTGTCTGTTATAGAGCGACTGTTGAAATTAAGTGTATCGTAAAGTTGTTTTCGGAAAGAATAAACCAGTTTTATTTAAGAAAGTACTTGTGTCGCTAAAGTTTAGTCGGAAAGAATTTGCGAAAAACTAACTAACGACTGGAGGCGTAACAGTATGCTATATGAACTGCCTTCAGAACAAGGCCGTAACTTTGAATCAGCTGTGTTCGTAATGCTACCACCTATAATATTTCTTTGACTTTAAAATTCCGACACAGTAATAATAATAATTAATTATATGTTTTACATAGCTTGTTGTTTAGAAATTATTGGCGGGCATGTTCCCCCAGCTCCTACGTCCCTGTATGCATAATGATCTCTATTGAAGCATATATGTGAATTACGTGTGAATGCCGCAACTTATTTGTAGAACATAAAGTTTGTCTCCTGTCAGAAAAGTTGTAATTATAGTATTTTGGCACTTGTGTATAAAGTTAAAATCATAAATAATATTCAACGTTAAACTGGTATACAATTAAAAACATTTTATTTAGGCCTATCTATGGTCTTCAAAAAGTTGACGACTCTACATGTTTCGACATTACAAAATATTTTTGATTGTGTACCTGTTTAACGTTGAATATTATTTATGATTTTAGAAAAGTTGTATTTGGACCTAAAAACATAGAACCTTTCTAATCAAACAACGTTATATAAAACAATAATTTGTGGAGCACAGTTTTTTCGCTGTTTTTAAATATATAGGTCTATTGTAAAACAAACAATATTCTGCTGATGATGAGGTGATGTCACATAAGTCACAAGTAAACTGACCATCGAAACCTTATGGGCCTATTGCAACCAGAGGCCTACGGTACAATGAAACCTTCATTATACCGTATATCGCGGCATATAAGTCGATTTTTTTATGGTATTATATTATTCCAAGAAAGGGGACCCGTCTTATACAACAGATACAAAAAGCCTAGGAAAATTCTCGATTGTCAGTGGAGCCTTGAGATGAGTGAACAGATCTATTTAGACACACCGAGGAGTACTCCTCACGCAGATCCTTTGTTTTGAAATTTTAAGAAATGACCTTACAAAGATCACAATGTGCATTCTAGTTGATATATTTGGTGATATATTCTGCAGCTGAACGTCAAAATACCTCGAAACAAAACTCAAGAATCAAGTCGTGAAATTTACCAAAAAACAAACAATCGTGCTGTGAGTAGGAAATTTTCCATGAAAAACTCGTCCGCGATTGGAGAAATTCCAAAGTCTGCCAGGAACGAAGTGTGCTGCTCGGGCAGGAAAATCTGGTTTCTGGCCTAAACTGAAAACAGACCTCGTAACATGGCGTTACTTATTACAATTTCGAATGGTCTGAAACCGAGCTAAATGATAATTTAAATTCGGTAGTTAAATAAATGCCGATATGTATCCAGTTTATGATATTTGCCAACAAGATTGATACACACAGTTTTTTTCTAATACAAATATGTTTTAATATATAAACAACAATACAATTTACAATCACAGTTATTACAAACAATGACTTATATACAAA